GTGGCTGCTCGGCGGCGGCTGCTGGAGTTGCTGGAGCTGCTGGAGCTGCTGGAGTTGGGAGTTCAAGGATGAGGTAGCTACAGGGAAGAAAATAAACGTGGGGGTGAAACAAACATAACAAAACATCTTGCTGTGTGTCTTTGGTAGCTTGTCTGGTGTGAGCTGAGAAACCTGTCTTTTAGAAAAAGTTTACCCTCTCACTCACCCTTTGGTGCGTGAAAGGCACTGGGAGAAAGAGTTACTTTTTAGGAAATTTTTAAAATTTAAGGAAGACGAGAATGTACCACATCAAGGTATTACTTTGAAAGGTATTGAGTAGTACAAGCCAAGGGATGCACTAGAAATGAAGGTCATGCTTAAGTACTTTCTCTCTTCCTTTCCACACTGCTTGGGAAATACACTTATGCTTTCAAGATCTGATTTAAAGTCCAACCAGTTTAATTCTTTTGGCAAATGCTCGACTGGAGTTAAGAACAGAAAACTAAATGGTTAATAATCTTTTCACCAACGATGCCATTAATTGTGTCATTTTAACTTGACACTTCAGACCTCTGGCAGTTTGCTTAGATATGTTAGTTTCAAGTTTCTAGAGTACATGATTCTCTGTTTTGCAGAGTCAGAATCCTGAGCCTGAATTTTTTGTCTGCTGATCAAAGACACAGAGACCTCCAAAACTGGATTGTCGTAGGCCACTATAAACTGTACCCTGTGGTGACGAGACACATCAGCACCTCAAGGACACACAAGGAACTGAGAATGATATCACCTTTCAAGATTTTCTTTCTTTTTTTTCCATCAAGATTTTCTTGTTATGTGAAAAGTGTTAGTAAGACAAGCTGTCTTAACACTGAGCACACTAAATTTGTTCTCAGATGCCCATCTAACACTTTAGTTTGGTCAAAGAATTATCTCTAGAGAAAATTGCTGCTACAAGTTCACTTCCTTCTTTGCCTGAATCTCAGTCTAAAAGCTTTCCAAGAAGCCTACAGGCAAATATAAGGATCAGTGTTGATTGCATAGGCCTGCAATGTTTTCCTGCTCCTCACTTACCTAGAATTTGTCAAGATTTCCAAAGGTAATAAACTTTGCGGCATCAAACTAGTTTATTATTATTTTTTAATTTATCTTTATTGTTGAATTACAGATGTCCCTGTTTTCCCCATATTGACCCCCTCCACTTAGCATCTGCCCCTGCACCCCCAGGCCTTCTCCACACTATTGTGTGTGTCCAGGGGTTACACATATATGCATATAAGTTCTTTGATTAATCTCTCCCCCATACCCATGCCCTCACCCCTGCTTTCCCTCTGAAATTTGTCAGTCTGTTCCATGTTTCTGTGTCTTTGGACCTATTTTGTTCATCAGTGTATTCTGTTCATTAGATTCCACATGAGTGAGATCATGTTATACTTGTCCTTCTCTGACTGGCTTATGTCAGTTAGCATAATACTTTCCAGTTCCATCCATGCTGGCCCAAAGGATAAGAGCTCCTTCTTTTTTACAGCTACATAGCATTCCATGATGTAAATGTACCACAGTGTTTTTATCCACTCATCTACTGATGGACACTTGGGCTGTTTCCAGATCTTAGCTATTGTAAATTGTGCTGCTGGGAAGAGCATATAATGGCATAAAAACAGGCTTTTCAATAAATGGTGTTGGGAAAATTGGACAGGTACATGCAAAAGAATGAAGCTAACCTGCCAACTCACACCATACACAAGAATAAACTCAAAATGGATAAAAGGCTTAAATGTAAGCCGTGAAGCCATAAAAATCCTAGAAGAAAACATAGGCAGCAAAATCTCAGGCATCTCTCATAGGAATATATTTGCCAATACGTTTCGTGAGGCAAGGAAAATAAAAGAGAAAATAAACAAATAGGACTGCATTAAAATAAAAAGCTTCTGCACAGCAAAAGAAACCATCAACAAAACAAAAAGGGAGCCCACTGTATGAGAGAACATATTTGCCAATGATACATCTGATAAGGGGTTAATTTCCAAAATATATAAAGAACTCATACAACTTAAGAAAAAAAAGACAAACTATTCAATTAAAAAAATGGGCAAAAGACCAAAATAGACACTTCTCCAAGGAGGACATACAAATGGCCAAGAAACATATGAAAAAATGCTCAAAGTCACAAACATTCTTAGCAAAGTTAGAATAGAGGGATCATAACTCAACATAATAAAGGCCATATATGACAAACCTACAGCCAACATCATACTCAATGGGCAAAAACTAAAACCATTTCCCCTATGAACAGGAACAAGACAGGGGTGTCCACTTTCCCCACTCTTATTCACTGTAGTACTGGAAGTCTTAGCCACAGCAATGAGACAAGAAGAAACAATAAAAGGCATTCAAATGGGAAAAGAAGAAGTAAAACTGTCATTATTCACAGAGGGCATGATATTGTAAAGAGAAAACCCTAAAGATTCCATCAAAAACTACTATATTTAATAAATGAATTCAGCAATGTAGCAGGATACAATATTAACACCCAGAAATTCATGACATTTTTATACACCAACTGTGAACTCTCAAAAAGGGAAACTAAAAATCCCACTTACCATTGCAACAACAAAAAAATTAAGATACTTAGGAATAAACTTAACCAAGGAGGTAAAAAACTTGTACTAGGAAAACCACAGGATGCTGAAAGAAAGAGATAGAAAAAGATATAAACAATGGGAAGAATATACTATGTTCATGGATTGGTAGAATTAAAATCATTAAACTGACAATACTACCCAAAGCAATCTATAAATTCAATGCAATCCCCATTAAAATACCAATGGCATATTTCACAGATCTAGAACAATACTCCAAAAATTTATATGGAACCCAAAAAGACCTCTAATAGCTGCAATGATCTTGAGAAAGAAGAACAAAGAGGGATCACAATACCAGATATCAAGTTATACTGCAATGACACTGTAATCAAAACAGCCTGGTTCTAGCACAAGAACAGGCATATAGATCAATGAAACAGAACAGAGAGCCCAGAAATCTGCCCAAGCCTTTACACTCAATTAATATTTGACAAAGGAAGCTAGTCCCTATTTTTAAAAAATGTTCCTTTTAAAAATCTAGTGATTCTGTAGTGACATATACCTGTCTTCACATAATAAGTATGTTATCAAGAACATATTTGTGTGTACATTGACCCATACATTGAGGATACTTAGAGAACTTTCTCTGTAAAGAAATCAACCAGTGAATATCTTTGTAAAGTTAGTTAAGAATCATTTTGTAAAATTCATTGAATTAGGCACTAGTACTGTGCTGGGTAATGTGTAGTATTTAAAAAGAGACATAGTCCTGCCTTTAAGGAGTTTAGTCTATTTGTGGAGATAAGATGAACTCATAAGAAGTTATCAGGCTTGGGGGTAAATGTTATAGAGTTCTGCTAATGATAGATGCTTGATACATATCAATTGATTAACTAAGTGGTCAACAGTGTGGAAACACCAAAATGGCCAAGAAAAATGATTTCAGGCTGGAGAAACACCCAGAATCCAGCACATTTCAGGTGATATTTCTGAGAGATAATGTGGAGAATGGACTGCCTGGAACAGAGGCTTTGGGAAGTTTTTGAATGACTTTAGTCTTTAGAGAAGGTGAAGAACCTGTCTTGTGAAAATAGTGGAAAGATGGATCTCTCTCAATTAACCTCTGGTGTAAATCAGATTTTAAATATAGAATCAGGTTTGTTTAAAGCAGGACATAGCTGTAGTGGTGAAATGTAGCTTGGCAGTTCCCAGGGATACAAAATACCAATTTTGTGCTCTCCACTACCATGTAGGGCTTCCATGTTGGACCAGTTGAGGTGACAAGTCTTTGCTGGGTCAATGAATTACTCTAGGTCTGCTCCAACCCTCAGTCTGGTGTGTTTCCTGCCTTGCATGTAAATCCAGATTGCTCTAGAATTCTAGAGGTAGAGGTGGTGTGCATGAGAGAGGACCAGAAAATGCCCAGTCTGTAGACACTCTTTGAACTTTCTGCTCAATTTTGCTGAAAACCTAAAGCTGCTCTAAGAAATAAAATCTATATAATAAAAATACTCAGTCACCATCCCATTTATTGGAACTTGAAGAGTATGGTTTGGTTTTGCCATTCTCCTCCCTCCTCTGGCTCCTATTGTACAAAATCACATTTTATTGAAGATTTGGGAACCCAGCTCAATCCTTGCCTCCCAGAATCTTCTGCATTCTGAAGGATCCTGGGGGAGTGTGTCTAGATGTCTCCTTTGGGTAGACAGAGACTTTGGGAAACTGCATCTGGTCTCTCCTGCCTGATTCAGATCAATCCTTTCCCAATTTCTTTCAGGTGGGAGGCACATATCTCAGTGCTTATTTTCATGGTTGACTTAAATACCATCCTGTTTCATTTTGGTTAGAAAAGCATTTATCTAAAGCAACATTTAGAAACAGGAAAGAGAGGGGAGTATTGGCAGGTAGATATTGGGATTTGGGTAGGTACAACAGACCCTAACCTATTTATGAGACATGATCCCAAACTTGTCTTCATTCCTTTATGCTGGTGAGTTCACATTGGCTACTTCTTTCCCATGATCTGCAGCTTGCCTGGAAAGGCGCAACCTAAATGAAGCTTTTGAGTTACATAAACTAATTTGGCATCAGCAATCAAAAATCGTGGACACAAATACATTCAGGTATATCCTGGATGCAGAGAAAAGTGTGAAGGGGTCATACAAGGATGTAATGTAAATCTTGTCTAAAAAATGCCAAAGCCACCTACACAATAGTATGAAAACAAAAGTTTTTTAAAATGTTAAAATATGAAACCTCTAAATGGCTAATTGTATATAGCATACTGAGAAATGGACACAAGTTAGGAAGGTTCAAGAACACATTTGAACTATAGGGAATGTTTATAGATAAAATGATAATTTTGGATGATAAAACTCTGACCCTATTTATGAAATATTAAAGTTTATTTTCTTCCCTAGTATTCATATTCTTTTATGATTGTTGCCTCTATGTCTGGTTACTATACTATACAGGCCGATGTTAAATGTAAAATTTAACTATAATAACAGTAGTTA